TTTCCATTTCTGTAGTTTTCTCGTATGCATATATTTTCTTCATTCCTTTTAAAATTAATGTTAAAAAAGTGATAATAAAATAAAATAAAATTAACTAACCACTACCAGAAGTGACTCAGTGCAAAATATTTCTATAAAAACAAAACGAATGTTCAGGAAAAAGGAAAGAAAAAACATAAAAGTTGAGAAAAAACTATTTTCATTTAAAAATATAATATGTAATCCCTACATGGAAACGAAAAATTGCAAAAATTTATTTTTTAATTTTAAAAATTTCCCTTACATTTTGCATTTTTRCTCACTTTTCTACTAAAAATTACACATTTGCAGTGCGATTCAAATAACATATTTACAGTAAGCAAAATTCATAGAACTATGCAAAAGAGAGTGAATTTTGAATTGAACACAATAACTTAGTTAAAATTCAGCTCTAAAATAATATTCTCAAAACAAAACAGCTAAGTAAATAAACAAACAAACAACGATCAACGGAAAACCAACATTGAATTAATTAAAAGCACACAGTCGACTAAAGAAGCAGCAAAATTCAACGAAAGTTATTATGAAAGTGCATACAACAGCGAGTSAACGGCAGTTTTCAATATTACAAACTAAAGTAAAAGTCAAAACAAAAACGTTGCGGCAACAAAAACAACAAGAAAAACAGCCACAGCATCGGTTAATTAAAGTGTTGAAGCAACAGCGGCAACAATTGCAAAAAMGCTTGTTAAAACAAACTCGAAATTTCGTTAGGACGACTGCAGCACTAGCACCCAACGATCAACCACAAAAACAACAACAATATCAACGCAACAACGAAGGTGAGCATTCCTTGCTGCGCACTAAGCAAATTYCATTACAATTGCAACACGGCACATTGGCTCATATAGCGCTGGCCGATACGCTATCGTTGTCAGTGTTGCAGCTGTTAGAGTCGACGTGGCTGGTTAACAACGCAGTGCCGGAAAATAAATCAAAATTAAACTCTTTAAGACGGAGGGACTAACATTCGCATTGCTGGCGGGCCCCATGGGCCAGGCTGCAAGTATGTGCCGATTTCGTGGATGTCGYTACAAAAAGAATAAGACAAATAAGAATACAACGGSWACAGCAACAACGACAACAGCTAATAGCGCCACAACAGCTGCAACGGCCGCTACAACACCAACAAATACGGCGAACAGTTCGCCGGTATCAGGTGAGCAGAAATACTCTGAACCTCGGGGTGGTTGCTGGGTGCAACTTTTGTGACGAAAACAGTTATTGAAATGCACTGATGATAACAGTGTTGCAGCAAATTAGGAAAAGTGTAAGAGGGTATGTAGAGATATTTAAGTGCTGAAGTCCTTGTTCTGAAAACACAGGATACCTCCACGAAATTTGGCTCATATCATTCTCCAAGCCAGTGCTAGAACTACCAAATATATTGTCAGATTAGGATTACTAAAGGATACAGATATTTGTATACCCTTTTATGCTTCTAGAACTGTATTAGTGGAAAGCATTTATAATTTAATATTTAGAATTGTTGAACTTTACAACTGTTACCAGCTCTAGACAACAAACGTATTAAGCCAATTATAATATAATTAATAGCTTAGTGTAAATGAATTATTAATTTTTAGCTGGTTGGAAGCTCTAGTTTTGTCTGAATTAGTTAGATACATAGTGTGAACGTAGGTGATACACGTCGTATGAGTAACATTTCTTAAAAAAGCTAGCAGCAGCTTTCAAATATACATACATATGTCCTTAGCAGATAATTTAATTATGTATTTTATAGAAAACCTTAGTTTTAGCAAAAATATTACCTATGACGTTTTTTTTAATGGGCTGGTTAATAATACCTATAGGTATACACTGCGTATGAGTAAYATTAATGGCAACACAGAGTATTATTATTTTATGCACCACTATATATATGTAAAAGTGTGTACATATATATACATATATATGATGTGATGTATGAAGAGAAAAGTTAGTATTTTATTTTTCATTTGCGGTTCTCGTGAGCTGAGAAAAATTGTCTTGCTTCAGAGATTTAAGCAATTTAGGAAAAGCTTCAGCTCTTTCCTTCAAATGAGTCAAAAATGTATTTTTGCCGAGTTAATCCCTTTTTATGGCAGGTTACTTATAAAAGACTAAATTTWTTACCATATTTATTATAGAAAATTTTGCTTAAAGTTTGATTTTTCAATTTAAATTTTCTACAAATTCGCGTAAATACTTCTAAAGACAATTTTCTGCCTTCCTTTAATATATTTTAATGGAAAAGCTCCAAAAAAAATGCAAAACCAGAAACAGTTTGAACTTTCAACAAGTTTATCAAGTTGTCTGACAATTTTGTAACAAAATAACAAAAACTTTCTCTCATTTCCGTTAATTTGGGCTCAAGTAGGTTTTGTTTTTTGTKTTTTTTTTCATAAAGGCGAAGAATTATCCATTCAGTAAACATAACAGCATACAGCAGCTGTTCATAAATCAAGTCAGRAATGGTATGGTATATCTCCATAGGCACAAACAGTCTGTCCTACACCGCTAATGGGTAACATATTTTCAAATTTTTTTTAAATGAATTTTTCTGCATGAAATGGTGTATAAGTAACTTTGTTTTTTTTTGTGCATCGAGGTGCAATCGCATGCAATCTGATATTGCCACTGGCCTCCTCGACGCATTTCAATAATGCACACTGTTAGTGTCTCTTCCATTTTTCATGGGTGAAAACATTTTTGTCAGCGCTGCTAAGTGCACTTTGCTTTGCTTTACTAACTGCTGTAATTTTCATTTTATTTATATTTTATTACATAAAATAAAATTTGAGTGCAACGAAATGAAAATCGTATAAAAAATTGTAAATCAACTAGTGTTTGTATGCTGCCGCGTCTGTGTGTGCATTAAAGTGCACTAMAAAAACGGCAAAGTGCTTCAAATGCCATTCCGCGAATATTTTGTGATATGCAAAGAAAATCCCATGGCATAAAAATACTCGTAACTTAGAAATGGCACACGCAAAAACGCGAAAAAGGCCAACAGGATGTCACAGCGTGGAATGCCGYTGGCATGCATACATGGTTGCTGCTGAAAAAGAAAAAAAAAAACAAAGAAGTGTTCCAGTACAGGATATGCGCTGACACATATATTTCATCAAAAATATGTCTCTATAAAATTCTGCATACAAAAAGGATACATGCAGGAATAAACGTTAGCTAARCAAACACATATTCGCACAAACGGCATAGCTATGGCGATGAAAAAATGCAGTTAAGCGCATTGCCAGCAAATTTTGGCGTCGGTGAAAGTGGTGGCCACAAAAACTCTTGGGATTTTTGAGTATGTACGCATTTTTTATATACTGCGAGAATTTAAAGTGCTTTATTGAGTGGTTTCAGTGGTAGGGTTGGTATATAAAAATCACTTARGAAAAATTTCAAGTTTTTGAAACCAGTTTAAGGCTGTACGAAAGGCTTTGATTCAAAATTAAAATTTCTAAAGTCGAAGTTTTTTTCAAGCATTTTGAAATATATATGCATATATGTGTAGAAAAAAGTTTGTATTGACACTTTGATACAATATCTTAGAAG